ATAAGTTATAATATTTCTAATTCTCGTTTTAAGGAAAGTTGTCTCCACATAGTAATAACTATTTGTATATTGTAAAAAAATATATGTTATATTATATTAAAGGTTTAAAATGAAATAAAATATTTATTTAAAGTTGTTTGGGACAATGATTTATACTTTAGAGTTGATACCACACCTTTTAACTTATGAGTACATTACTCGCTAGCATAAACATCTTCTTGTTGAAGCCAAAATATTTCTAATGTCTTAAGTATGTTTAGAGCTTTTTGGCACGAAATTTTTTGTATCCCCATACTATTATACTCATGATTATTTCCTTCTAATTGTAGTAATGATTTCTTCTTCAAATAAAACATATATGACTTGTTGTTTATTTGGATGATTGATAAACATATTAATATCCATTCGATTAGTGTGGTGAAGTTGTCGAATATAATCACTCAATTCTACTATGACTCTTTGATTCTCCTCTTCCATTTAATTTATAACTTGTAATTCATTGACATCAAGGGTCCTAATTTTGCAATGTTTAAAACAATTGGTAATTGTCTATAACTTCACATCAATTGACCATGCAACAACTAAATTTAATATTCTATTAAGGACATTTATATTTGCTAATTCCAAGACATGATCTTCTATCATTTATAAGAGTAGGCAATTAAAGCACTAAATTTGAAATCATAATACTATTAAAACATGAATTTAAATCCTAATACTACTAAAACATGAATTATAAAATAAAAAATTTTGGTAACTACACCTCTATTAAGTAATAACCTCATTATAGTAATAAAATTTATTAGTCACACCATTATGATTATAGAGAGGTTTTACTATAATTAGATTTAATAGGGCTAGATTAGATTTTGATTTCTTATATATAGACACACACTATTGATAAGATAAATAATATATATTCTTTAACCTTATAATAAATCAATATAACTTATAAACAAAATGAAAGCACTGTAGATCTTCCACACAAATGGCAAACGTGTAGATCTCATTGATAATTTGCTATATTCAAACTCACTTGGAAACCCTAAACCATTTCGTTTATCATAACAAACAGCCGCGCTCATTTTTTTAACACTAATCACCATCACAAGAGGCCACTTCCAAAAATTAGAGATTGAACAAGAGTTTCTTGTTCGCAATCACTTGACTCGGAATTGATTTATCTAGCGGAACCACGCCATAAAACAAAGTTGAGCACAAGGGAGACTCATGCAACCACCAGACCAACCAGACCAACCAGATCCACAAGCCCCACCAATCCCACTTCCCCCAGCCCCCCCACCCCGCCCCCCACTCCGCCCCCATGCCGCCCTCACAAACTACGGTGATAATGTTCCAGGTTCGTTAATAATGATTTAACTTTTATGACTCTCATCTCCGATATCTATGATCTTTTTGAGTTATTCTTATATATTTCCATTATTATCACTTGTTTTAAACATTCCCCATTATCATCTTGGGAAATTAGCATCCTTTCCCCTTAAATCATACATAAAGATAGTAGAAAACATAGCTTTACCAATAATTTTCATTCTTATTGATTCAATGTTACAACGTTATAACTTACCCCATTGAACACCATTAATTAGATCAGCCTTAAGAAAATGGATTTGATAAAATAGTGTAAGGGTCAGTTTGGTATTGATATAACTTATAAAACAATCACGGTTAACTGTGCTCAAGGAATAATCAGCTGTCATTGGGACAAAAATAATTCCAAACCAGTCTTTAGATGGAGGCCATGATTCAACAAAATTAGTATCTATAGTGTTAGTATCATCATTTTTTTTTTTTTTGGGTAATTTCTCTAAATTATTGTAGTATATATTCTTTTTTCATAAATTTGCTGGAGATTTCAACTCTCTTTTAATTTCCGCCATAAGGAACGGAGGACCAGATATATAAATTTTTAATGAAGGATGGAACAATGATGACGACGGAGATGATTTATAGCTCAAGTTGCAGAGAATTTTGGCTGAAAGAGTTTCTGTTGCCCATGTACAAACATGGTGACATGATTGTTGGTTTTGATACAGAATGGTCACTGAAACATTCCATAGATACTGGTGCCAACGAAACACAAGTTGTTTTGCTGAAGTTATGCAATCAAGCTTACTGTTTGCTGATAAAACTCGATATGTCTTCGACGTCGATTATCGAAGAACTCAGCCGGTTGCTCGTTAACAAGGATTTACTTTTTGCTGGTGTTAACATTCAAAAGGATCTTGAATTGCTGCGAAAAGGGTATGGGCTTGAAATTAAGAGCTATTTGGAGTTGAGTGAATTGGCAGCTCAGATAGTTCACCACCCGCCTCAGCCTCAAATGTTTAACCAGGCGCTGAAATTTTGTACCTACAGTATCAGAGGTTTGGCAAGTGAAATTTTGTCTCAGCCGCTGAGGCCAAGGCCGTTGTGCGTGGCGGAAGCGGACTGGTCTGGGAGTACTCTTACAGAGGAACAGATTGAGTATGCAACAGGTGATGCCTATTTCACATACAAGATTGCGAAGAAGTTACTGATAAATATTGGACTTAAATATTAGTGTTAAGCTTTTTACCACTCGATCGTAGTATTGAAGTCAAAGTCTTAAGTTTTTGAATCCTTACATTTCAATTGAATAAAGAAGAGCATCCAAATTTTATGTGAGAAGGTTTATTGGACTTTTTATTTTTTAAGTAATGATTGGGGGTGTCTAAATTAAATTACGCGTACCTTAATTAATTCCTAGGAACTTTGGAATTACCAACCGAGTAAGGGCTCTAATGATCATCTCTATTAGATATCGATGAGGGACTCGAACTTAAGATATCTTAAGTAATATACTTAAGAGTCTCTATCGAACCACTCAGTCACACAGAGTTTCGTTTATTGGACTTAAAACTTACTAGTTTAAGTTTTTAAGTCAATTAATAACTTTACAATAAGTTATCAGGAGAGGTAAAAAAAAAAAGCTTTATGATATATATTTCATTTCATGCTTGTTTGGAGATTAAATATCTGCATGTATATTGTGATCTTTTGGAATAATATTATGAAAATAATGGAGAACATGTATGGTGATTCCATTTTGAACTTGTTTTCAGTCCACTAGCCTTTGTTATGGATTATTTTGTTGAAGAGTAAAAGATGTGTTGAGCTAGAATTGTTAGAAATGATTATTTGAAATAAATATTGAATCTATATAAAGATATAAATTATTTGAGTTAACGACTTTTTCTCATCCAAGGTTGGCCTTAATTAACAACACTTTTCCACCTAAAAGGTTTCAAACTATCACTTTCTCACCCAAAGTTTATATTCCATTAACACTCAAAACACATTTTATTTTCTAAGCCGGTGTTTAGCAAGTTACCAGGAGTTATGGTTAGAGGAGTTTTGTAAAGTAGAGGTCGATAGATCGAATGGTGTGACCGATTGAATATTCGCTATCAGAATATATCGAAAATCAGATAAGAATAGGAAACCCTAGTTTTGCGGTGACCAACAATCGATAAAAAATCAAGTGTCACAATGAGATGAGTTTTGTAGAGAGGAGACCAGAGTTTCAAATGGTGATAATAGAGAAAATTTTCACCGTCGAAATCGGCTTTAAGTAGTAATGAAATATTATTTTGGGTGGAAAAGTGGTATTTTAAAACTTTTTGGATGAGATAGTGTCATTAAGGCAAACCTTGGGTGGGAAAAAGTCGTTTACTCAAATTATTTTGTACATGTTTTATATGCATGACAAGAGTTTTACATATAGGATATAATCATGAGATCCTTTTAACTCTATATTTGTATGTTTACAATGCTTTAATTTGAAGTTGAACCTTGGTCATCAAAATAAAACATTTGAATTAGTTTTTTAGTGCCTTTAAAATAAATTGATACCTATTAATACCATATTATCCTTACCAATTACCACAACACAACGTAATACACAGAGAAAGTTGAGGTAAAAAAAGAGCCACAGTCCTCTGAAATAGATATGTATTACATTGTAAATTCAAATTTAGATTGACTAATGTAAATGCATGCTTAGTAAATTGAAGCAATATGCATTAATCAGAGTTGGATAATCGAGGCTGACTCCAAGCATGCATGCTTAATTAATTAAAGCAGTAAAGGCACAACTTGTTGGAAAATCAGAATATGTTGTGATACTATGCTGAAAATCAGAAGAGTAAAAAAAAAAAAAACATTAAAATAAAGAACAAGAACAAAACAACTTGCAAAGGCACACGATATATTTAGTTTGGCATAACTTGTCTACATCCACGGATGAGAGTGTTTTCACTATAATAATATGAATATGATACAAATGTTTCATCATACCATCAACTTAATACCTTTACTTAGGTGTATATCTTATTCCTATGGTGTTTAATATCTATGTGGTATTTTCCCAATATCCTGTGGTACCCTTACATAAAAACCCTTTGTATTCTCACATTCTCTCATTCTTTACTTCTCTCTCATAACCTTGAATTGGTTCTAACTCTCCTATTTATAGGTAAAATAGGGCATTCTTATTCAACTAGAATTCATATTTCTATTCCTAATAAAACTTCTCTAATTTAAATCATTCTTCTATTTTAACTCAAATAAAGTCCTAAATCAATTATTCTTTCCTAATACATCTCACAATAAAAAAGGAAAACAATTATTCCCAATTATAAATTCTTAAACTAGAAATTTGCTTAAAACCTAATTTTTTTTCTTTCTTTTTGTTTGCCTTTTATTCCTGCTTGCCTTTTCTCTTTGATTTCCTTTTCTTCGTTAATTACCAAAAAAAAAAAAAAAAATGTTCATATTCCAACACAACTAAATATGAAGAGACAGACAAACAGACTGGTTTAGCATGAAAAGGAGAGACTCTTAAGCAGATCAATCGTTACTAATTCCATATAAATACTGAATGGTTTGTCTCATTAAATCACTACCTACAATACTGTCCTTCCTTCGTAATGATTAAAATTTTCGTTTTGGATCATAACATGGAACATACTTCTTTTTTGAATGAGGATGGTATAAAGATAGAGACAACAGTATTTTATGATGATAATAGCATCCCAGAAAGCTGCCTCAAAAGGATTTTTCAGAATATGTGTGAAAGCGGTGACATGATTATTGGGTTTGGCACAAAATGGTCGCATATGGAACCTCGTGTTGTCTTACTGAAGCTTTGCACTCAGGTTGGTTGTGTGCTAGTGCGGCTTTCAAGATACAATAGCGGTCCATCATACCTGAAACATTTCCTCAGTAACGAGGACATAGTTTTTGCCGGTGTTCATATAAAAAAAGACATCAAAAAGCTGCAAAAAGACTATGGGATTGACATTAAAAATGTTGTAGATTTAAGCGAATTGGCAGCTTCTGTACTTCACCAGCCCCGCCTACTTGCTTATAGTGTGAGAGGCTTGGCAAGTGAAGTTTTGTTACAACCATGGAAGCCAAGATCCTGGAATATGGTAAAGGCTGCTTGGTACGCAGTACCACTAATTGATCATGAGATGATTCAGTGTGCGACAGTTGATGTCTATGTTGCATATAAGATTGCCAAGAAGTTGATAGGTTGATTGTGGTTGAAGAAATGTTCACTATATTATGTCTCTATTGCCTTAATTTTTGTGTAACCTGCAGTCCATGTTTAAAGAGAAGCATTTTATTTTGTCATTGTTTTTACTAGTGTTCAGTGTTATTATGATTTTCTTTTTGCAATTTTCATAGTATCTCAAGCTGGCACATCATAGAAGTTGAGTTTTGTTATAACCTTTTCTCGTCACTTCTTTTTTTATTTGCATTTGGGTTCAATAATTAAAGATGTATATTTGGGGCTCACTAGCCAATTGAAATTGTGAATTTCAGCAGTAAAACGAAAAAAAAAACAAAGAAAATCATGCTCTTTTAGCTGTGGTACATGCATGTTCTTTAGAATTTATTCTTCAGAATATATTTCTCTTCAAGGAAAATAAGAACTTAGCTTTGCATTTTTTTCAACCATCTAATAGTTACTAGATATTATCTTAATTTTAATGGAAAATAATTAATAAATTAATAGCAATATATTTTCCATTTACCCTTCCATTAATTACCCTAACAACATAAAACAACATTATAATTTATATTAGATCTTGGGGTAGATGTTTGTATTAAGTTCTAAGAAGTCAAAATTACTCAATATTGATAATTAAGGAAAATGATAATAATTTGAAAAGTACTCTGGCTAGGTCAAACTTTAAATCTAAGTTGAGTTTACTGATTAAAAGAGTTAAACGAATTTTTTCCACCCAAATAATGGCCTAATAACATTTTTTCACCTACCGACTTTTAAAATACCACTTTATTATCAAAGTTTATATTCCGATGACTAATAGAGAGCAAACTCGGTCCAGACTATTAGGACTTTTAAAGAGGGGAGACCGATGAGTATTTTGATAGTGGAAGGTTGAATTTTGGTGGTTGAGATTGATCGAAATTTGAATTGGGAGGGGTGACTGTGTTAACCTTAATCACTTGATTATCGGCAATTAGCAGAGTCGAAGGGAGTAGGGTTTGAAAGGTTTTGGTGAGTGATGATCATGAAAAGAATAGCAGTGACGTGAAATTGCAACTATGCCGAAATCATAAATAGAATATAAATAGTAAGAAGTGTTTTAAAAGTCAATGGGCAAGAAAGGGTTATTAAGTCATTATTTGCGTGCAAAAAAGTCGTTTACTCGTGATTAAAATAATTGGATGCCACTGGGGCATGCATGAATCACAAGCAATATTATTAACATTGGATAACATCACTTTCCCACCCGAGGTTTGGTGAGACGACACTTTCCCACCTATTAAGTTTCAAAATAACACTTTCCCACCCTTTATCAGGTTCTGTTAGTATTTTTTATTAATATTTAACTAAAAAAATGAAAATAACATTAAATATTCTATTTCTTAATAGCTTCTTGGCTACTCTTTCATAATCTATTAAGATTTTCTATTTAATTAGTAAAAATGAAAAACATTATATTCTGAAAAACATTATAAATTTAGTAGATTATTGAATAATAATGATGAGATATTGATGACATTATTAATAAATAACTATTAACGTCATTTAACTTTAATCCATAACATTACTCTTAACTTTTTAGTTAGGGTTAACTATTTTTTCTTTTTTAACTTTTTAATATCAAACTTTTTGCTAATTAAAAAATAATAAATATTTAAAGGTATTTTCATCTTTTCAGTCAGATATTAACATAAACATAATAGAACTTGATGAAAGGTGGGAAAATATCATTTTGAAATTTAACGGATGAGAAAGTGTCATTTTGCCAAACCTTAGGTGGGAAAATGTCGTTCTCCCTACTAACATCCAGGAAAACATTCTATTTCTTTCCTATATGATTTTGATATATATTATTTGAAGAGTTAGAAGGGCTATGTACAATACTTGAGATTTAGGACCAGATAACAATGAGAATTTATATATATTGGACGGTCAGCTTGATCAAATCAGTTGATGCTTAGAAATGCATTTTTTCAACAAAATAATAATAATAATAATAATAAAAAAATCAAAGCTGTATTATTGGAATGGAAGCCACACGTTCATGATTCATGGAGCAAGAAAAACTTTGGAACAATGGAACATTGGGAATCAGCTAGATTTAATTAATGAGAGGCACTGCGATTGCAGTTCCCGGAAAGGAAAAGAATCCCAATAGTTAAAAACTCTGTATAAATATTAAGTTGTATATTATAGTCTCACCAGATCAAAGCTTTCAAGGCATTAACCTTCTTCCTACTTGATAAAAATGGCAACGCCAATTCATATTTATGAGTTTTTAATGGAGGATGGTACAATGCTATCGACTGAAATTTTTTACGATCAACCTAATGATTGGAATAGCAGCAAAAGCCGCCTCAATCTATGGTTGAAGCATATGTATGAGCAGGGTGAGATGATAGTAGCTAGGATTTGACACAGAATGGACGTTTAAGCATTCTGATATTTGTTATAAAATAGGAGTGAAAGTTGCCTTATTGAAGCTCTGCACTCAAGCTGATTGTGCGCTAATAAAGCTTCGGGATGACCTTGATACGAGATTACCCCTTAAAAATTTCCTGATTAACAAGGACACAGTGATTGCTGGTGTTCATATCAAGGAAGACATTAACAACCTGCAGTCAGATTTCGGGACTTACATAAGAAATGCTGTAGATTTGAGCGACTTGGCGGAAACTGTGCTTCACCAGCCGCGCCTCACTGCCTATGGTGTGAGAGGCCTGGCAAGTGAAGTTTTGTTAGAACCATGGAAACCGAGACCTTTTAACATGGCGAATGCTGATTGGTGCGCAACTCCTCTCTCAGACGAGCAGATTAATGCATATGCTGCATACAAAATTGCGAAAAAGTTACTCTCTTAGTTGCAGGTCAAGAAATGTATTTATGTTACAGAGAGAGTATTGTATCCAGCTAGCTTGCAGATGTTCAAAAATGGTTCTTGTCACATTTTGATCACTTCTCTCATTAGTGAATAACTATTTTCATTGAAAGATGGAGGCACGTCTTGCTGTCTAATGGTGCTTTTTTTTTTTTTTTTAATCTTTATCGTTGTTTTACCAATCTAATTATCCATTATTTTGATCTTCTTTCTGACTGCATATATATATCAAAATTCATTTTCAAGTGATATTTATTAACATTATGTCAGTTTATTCTTTTTTCCTTTTTCATTTTTTTTATGGGTAATAATTAAGAGGTGTATATCTCAGTGCCCACTAATTGAACTTGCGCGATTCAGCATTAAATTAAGATATAAAAAAAATCATGTGATTTTCATCTGTAGTATCTCTTTTAGAACTTAATTATTCCTTCATTTTTATGTTTCTTTATCACCTGGTTTCATGCACAATCATGGATCCCACAGATGTGGTTGAGGAAAAATTAACAAAAATAAAAAATAAAAAGGGGTTCCTGATGGAGGATGTTTACAACTTTAAACCTGCATGCATTGAGAATGATGCGAATTTCAGAGAAGATTTGGATCTTTTTGCTCCTAATCATAAACAATACGATGGGTTTACATATCCCAACCCTCTGATAATTGATTTGATAAATATTTTTTATTATAGACGATAGATATAGTGAATTAATTCCTCAATTCAACTGTCATACTATTACTCTGAAATCAGCATTTTAAAACCCGCCCAGCCGTTTGAACCAGTTGAACTAGGAATTGGGATTTGGGGCCTTCATCGGGCCATTACCAATTTTGATTATTTGTGACAAACCCTATAGATTAGGATGACGATTGCGAACAATTGTTGGTTGCGATGTTGGGGGTTTTAAAGAGGAAGGGCTGGTGAGTCGAAAGGTGGTGACGGGGTCATTTCCGATAAGTGAAACGATCTAAAATTAAAAAAACCGATCAGTGGTAACAACAAGCTATTGTCGACGATTGACGAGTTGAACGGGGGGTGGGTAGATGGGTTTTGGTCAGGAGCTAAGGTGAGTTTTTGTGATGATGGGGTGTGTTGTTAACGTTGGAACATGCCCTATTTGGCCAAGATTGTTTCCGCTGACGATGTAATTTGGGGTGTTTTGTGGGATTTCAAACCCTTGGACATGCTGACATCATCAATTTGACCAAGTTCAATCATTCAACCCTGAGACCCAACCATAGAATTTAAATTCAGAGTCTGAATTTAAAGGTCTATAGAATTTTTATGGAGGTCTAAGCACATGCATATTCTTAGGTTCCAATTCCATATTCTTTTCTTTTAAAACGCATTCAATCATGCAACTCACATGCAAAAGTAAGACACTTTAATTATGGATAACAAAAATAATTAAAATAATATAAGCTTTATTTGAAGCCTTTCAAACAAGATAAATGTTTAAATTTACTTCAAAAATTCAATTAAACTTTATTTTCTAGATTCTTACACTTCTTAAAACTTTATATAGGTCCGAGTTCTCATACAACAAAACAAAGAATAACAATTTCCCAACCCAAGGTTTAGCGTAATTAATTTTCCACCCAAAAAGTTTGAAATTTTTTCCATCTATCATTATTAATTAAGATCTATCTATTACTCTGTTAAGTTTTAACTGCAAAGGACAAAATGGTAAATTGATAAACCCAAACCTTTTTATTTTTGGGATCGACATGATGTATTGTTTTTCTTTAACAACTGACTGCGATGGACACAGCCACACCCGATAGGAACAATCTTGATCGAGACATTCTCACCTCAATAAGAGAATAGAACAAAACAGCTACAAGCTGACCACTTTTTTCTGAAACAAACAGTTGAGTTGCAAAAATGTTACAAGACGATGATATCTTAAAAGGCCTATTGGAACAACTACAAATCCCCCCACAAAACTCAATCCAAAGAATCCCCCAATGGTAACAATAAGTCACTCTCACTCTCTCCCCAACCCCAAAAACGACACTGAATCCTGCATTTCCCCTCCTGTTAACCACGAAAATCTCCAAATCCTATTACACAACACCCATCATCAAAATCGTCGTCACCTCCACCGCCGTCTTTGTCACTATCGTCGTGTTATTTGAGTTCTGAGAAGGTCGAGAATGGGTGGTTAGATTATGGGCTTTGAGGTTTTATGGGCCGAGATTTGTAGTTTCATTTCTTTGTTTGGGAATAAAGACGGTGCGAGTAAAGAAGCGTTTTGGACATTCGATCGAGTTGCGTGCATAGCTGTCTTGGTGATATGGTGGTGGTTGTGCCGACGGCGGCAGAATCAGAGAGAGAGAGAGAGAAAGGGTAGTAGAGCACTTGCAGTTGATTATCAGAGAAAAATGAGGTCAGGGTTAATTGGGTTATTATCATCTTTAAGGTTATTTTCTTCTTTACAGATTATACCATCTCAATTACCAACCGGAGGAAATTATTTTTCACAAACTGTTTGGGTGGAAAATAACTATGCCAAACCTTGGGTGGGAAATTGTTATTCCCCCCTACAACAAAATTCTTTTAAATCTAAAACTAGTGGGTTTCTGATAACGTGTCAACAGATCGTGGTGCCTTCCAGCAGTTTATATTATACGCGACCGCACTAGATCAGCATTTTTTTTTTTCACAGTGCAAAGCAAACGACGGCTAACGAAACTGAGGCGATCAAATACGACACACAACACTTTTGAAGAAGAAATTTCAAAACTTAAAACCTCTTTCAACTCAATAAATTATTTTTAAATTTAAAAAAAAAAAAAAGAGGACAAAAAGATCCTGATTTTCTCAAGAAAAATTTATTTATTTTCTCGAGAATTTGTGCAATTATAATGAAATTGACGCCATATTTTTCCAGTTTCTTACTGATCTTATTGCTCTCGGTTCAATTTCGGGCTTCGTTCGGATTGCACTCGACCGACCAGGCCTATGTGACGCTACTGTACGGCGATGAGTTTCTATTGGGTGTTAGGGTTTTGGGGAAGTCAATACGCGATACTGGATCCACGAAAGACATGGTTGTTTTGGTCTCTGATGGTGTCTCCGGTTACGCTAAGAAGCTTCTTCAGGTAATTTAATCAAGTGAATTTGAAAGTCGGGACTTTTTTGTTGATTAAAATGGGAAGTCGAAGGAAAGTTATTGATTTATTTCAAGATAGAGTGGCAATTTTTAATCTTTATCTGCATTTAAACTAGTTAAGGACTTTTTTTAACCAATTGATATTACTTATACTCTTTAACTTTCATTTTTTTTTTTTGTGGGATTTATTAATGAAGTTAATAATTTAGTTGGCTGATAAGTCAGTTATTAGAAAAATATTACTTGAAATTTAAGTTCTGAGCTTTTAACATATTACTTGGTGGAGAATTTTGCAGGCAGATGGGTGGAAGGTGGAGGAGATAAGTTTATTGACGAATCCAAATCAAGTGCGTCCGAAAAGGTTTTGGGGCGTCTATACTAAGCTTAAGATTTTCAATATGACTAACTACAGAAAAGGTATGGTTTTGTTTGTTTTCATGGGAATAATTGTGTGTCTGGTCTGTAGATGTAAAGTTAGAAAATAGGCTTTAGTTATAGGTTGTATGTGTTGTGATTGGATTTGCTTTGTTAGAATTTTCATTTACATATGAGTAGCTTGTACATAAATGGGAATAATGAGGAACCAGTGTTCTGTACAATGCCACTTGATATGACCACTGGACAGTCCCTTTAAATGTAATGTGTTCCTTTTTCCAAGAATCATTTGGATACTAGAACGCTGGATAATGGTCTGGCGGCGGGAGATCATTTTATTTGAAAAACTTCTATTTCTGTGGACTACTCTTTTTGGATTCCTTGTCTTACCTGGTAAAGTGATTACGATGTGTGGATTGTTTGGAGCATGTTCTCTTTATTTTGTTTTTCTGGGAGAAAGTTATTTTTCCTTAGTTTCTTTGTTCTATGAAAGAATAAGAGCATGAGCTGTTGTGTTTTACTGGATTTTTAAATTAAAGCATTTTGTTGATGCATGTAATTCAGTTTTCTTCTATGTTTATGATGGGTCTAGCATTTAGATTGTTATATATGAGGCTTTTCCCACATTCTTTCAGCAAAGAAATATTAGCTTTTTAATTTCTGCAATTTAAGTTTGAGTTCATCTATCTTTTTTACTTTTAACCAATGAGGTTTTTGTTTATGCAGTTGTTACTTGATGCTGATAATATTGTGGTCAAGAACATGAGGATCTTTTCAGATGTCGAAAATTCTGTGCTAACCTGAAGCATTCTGAGAGGCTAAATTCAGGGGTCATGGTTGTTGAACCGTCAGAAACAGTTTTCAATGAATAGATGAGCAAAGTGAACACGTTCATTCATACACTGGAGGTAAGGCATTTCTTGGGTGTTGTTGTGGTTATAATCCACTGCCTCTCTCTTTCTAGCAAATTTATGCTTTCATCCAATTTGTTTGGGATGGTTATTCATTAATTGGTTAATTAACCTTTTAATCTTTGTGTTTTTGCATTAAGAAAAAGCCTAAAAAATGTTGTAAAGTTACGAATTGACATTTAAAATATCTATGTGTAGCCAGAGTTTCCCAATTTAATTAGGAGGAAGAAATTCTGGTGAAACCTACGTGGTAACAGCAGTTATGGTGGTTATGTCAGCTGTATCCATTTAAGACAAAGCGAGTTGCAATATTTGTGTTTCCAGAATGTTTTCTAATGTATTTGTAATTGGGTTTGCATGATAATAATGTATTGTCAGTATCCTGATATTGAGCTTCACTATGTGTTAGTGTACGTTATGCAAATAACATATAGAATGAGTAAATATCAGATTACCATGGGTCTAGCTGTGTTCGTATTCAAAGTTGGCTATGGTATCCCAATTCGAACGTGTTGGTTGCCATTGCTTAACTTTGATGAAATGAAAGCTTGTGGTTGTTTGAGTTCATATTGAACAGTCTCTTTCTCTCTCTGTTTCTCTCTAATGTTCTATTGCAGGTGATCAGGGTTTCTAAATTCATATTCCCTGATTTTCCCAATGCACATGTTTTTGAGCCAAATTTATCCCCTGAGATGTTGAAGTCAGACCTGTTCCTGATATGGAGCGACTCTCTACTCTATACAATGCAGATGTTGGCCTACATGCTTGCAAATAAGGTATGAAAATTATAGATGTTAGGATGACTTATGTCATGATGCTGGTATAGTTGAAATATTTGATGCCATCATAGTAATGACTATTTCTCTTGCACTTTGATCTCATGTTTAAAAGCAAGTTAAGAGATGGGTGCAATTTCAGAAATGTTGATGACTTGTTTATTTTTTTAGGGTTTTTTTTTTTTTTTTTTTTAATTTATTATTATTTTTTAATTCTTTAACATTTTATCTCTATAATGGGCTTTCATATTCATAAATCATTGAAAATTTTGATTAAGCGTAGATAACCTATTAGCATGTAAGGATAAATTACTTCATACTTATAACTGGACACCAAGATCACGGAAGAAACTTAGTTTGAATGCTGAATAAACACTAACCTGTTTATGAAATTTCCTATATTTAAATTGTGAAGATCTTTCTGTTTCCGTTGTTGGTTGTTTATTATGGCATTCGTTAAATTAATAAAGCGAGGAATATATCTATTTCATTTACTTTTCTGATTAAAATATCCTTATACTTTTATTGAATTGTATATGCAGTGGATGGTAAATGGACTGACTCCGTGTTTATCACTATACACTCTGGTCGCTTAAACCTTGGGACTGGTGGACATCTTGGCTATTAAAACCTGTTGATGTCTGGCAGGTATTTCTCTCTACTGCTTTACCTATAATTGTGCAATTTTTAATATGTTTTTTTTTTTATCTGCTTGGTGTTTGTTGGGAAGAGAGGATTGGAGGCTGTTGCATTGTGGTTTATATAGGTTGCGTGCAGTTCTTACGTGATCATTACTGTTTTATTTTATGGTGCTAGTACTAACTAAGTCTGTATCTTTGTGTAATAGTATCGAGGTAGAAGTTTATGTTGTCTTTTAGTTTTATGAAATAAAAAGATACGTCTAATCAGTGCAGTTTCCTCCAATTTTATGATTCAACCTTAGTTTTTAATGCTGTAGGACGTCGAAATAAGGCTGAGGAAACTCGTCCTGGAACGGGAGGGGGTGGAAATCCAAATGATGATGTTTTGGTCAAAGTCCTTTTCCTGTTACCGCTTTGTGCTCTGCTTTTCTGTTACTACCGTTCTTTCCTTCAGGTTAGTGCTTACAGTTCTTTTTTTTTCCAGACATAAGCCAGTAAAATGTTGTCTTTTCGATCTCAAAAAAAAAAAAAAAAAAAAAAATATTTGGTGCAGATACGGGAGCACTTCAGCTCACTTTGTAGAAGTTCACTATGTGATCAGATTAGGCTACTTTACTTCAAAATCGATCTTGTGGAGCACTGGTATAGCAGTGTGTCGTCATCATCTGCTAATAATTCCAACCACCATGTTAGTTCCTCTTCCCCTAAGTAATTTTAGTTCATATTGCTTTAAGTTCTTTTAGTCAAATGATGTGCTCGTGACATTTTCAGTTTTGCATGTTGGATGGCCTCAGTAATTCTAAATATTGAATCTCAGTTTTAGTATGCTGAAACTCTTTATTGTGATGTATACAGTTTTCTAATGGTGCACAGTTGAAGGTGCCTGGCTATCGGGTGGAATTTCAATCTTCGTGTGCTTTATGGTTGCCCTGTTGTCCCTTGGCCTGTCTTTTGCAATGTGCCTCGGCAAGTGATGCCATGGACTGGTTTGCTGTTGGTATATGAGTGGACTTTCACACTCTTCTTTCTTTTATTTGGAGGTTTTCTCCATTTGATTACAATGGGGAAGGACAGTGGCATTCCAAGCAGGATCCTTCTCTTTCATAGAGACTCTTTTGAGATGACTCTGGAAAAGGTGTGTAATTTTCACTATGTACGAGGGGGGGTTATTGGGGGTATGGAATAAAAGATGCCAGTGCTTTTGAATGAAATACACACTGTGGTTCCTTCGTTTTTGTCTTAACTAGAAGTTGTTACTTTTGTATGTGTTTCAGGTCATCAGCGGCAGGCATCGGCTTGTGATTTTGTTACATGGTATTACGGAATCGGGATGGCATTTTTGGCTGTAGCTGTCCCTTCTTTACCATTTTATTTGGAACACGCTTTGTTTTTGAGGATTTTGCTTTGATAATGGTTTGCATTGTGATCTGAGTGTATGATTTTGTTGTTGTGGTTTGTTTAAACAATTGGAATTTGGAAGAAAACAAAATGTTGCAGGTTGCAGCATTGATTCCTGTAACTTGCTTGTGATAATGATTTCAGTGGGATGAAAACTTAAGTTAGGGTACTTTCTTTGGTCTTGTTTGATAGATTAAAGAGAACAAGAACTAAGAAAAGGTATTATGTCCATTTGAGCAGGTTAGGATTGATGGTTGCGGGAGGCATAGTTTTGGCATTTCATGACATACGCTTCAGAGCACTTGCAATTAGGTCATTTTTTAGAGGCTCGAAGACCGGGACTCCACACGACCAGGGATTGCATGTTTCTTATGCTGACAAAAGGTTCAAAGTGATTATGTAAGTTAAATGCAATGTATTTTTCCTGTAATTCATTAACATGTAAAATATTGCCGAATAATTTCAGTTAGATTGCCTTATTTCATCAGGGTTTTTTTTGTACTTTTCTAGAACAATTTTTTTTTTTTTTTTTTTTTCCCCCACAATCTCAGTTTTCCCTCAAAGAGTTTTTATTGTCCTTGTGAGTAGAATAGAATAGGTTAAGGTTGGTTATGATGAATTGATAAATGGGGTCAAATCATAGTGGGTGCACGCCTAGATTATTCCAATTGAAAGAAACTCCATGGAAAAAAAAAACAAAGAATGAATCATATGGAGTTGTTTGTGTCAGGTAACGTGACACTTTAATTGTGAAAACTACTAGCTGTTTTGGAAACCGACAATGGCTGCTTGTCTTTGGAGTTTTGTCAATGATATGCTTTGAAAGGATCAAATATAACGTGACATTTTTGTTTGTTCTTTATAAGCTTTTGGGCGTATGACCCTACCCATTGTTGTAAGAGTAGAAGCTTGGAAAGAGACTTCCAAAATCAAAAGCATTCTGAACAATAAATATCGGTAAATAATCTAATCTTATAAGTTTTTTCTCACAACTTCAACATGACAGTAACAGTCAATTAGATAAGAGGGATTTATTGTGAGCAAATGAGATCTAATTGTAAGTTAATCAATTGTGAGATATTACGTTAGAGTTATAAGAAAAAATTTGAGATTGGGTTGTAAGTGTAGTATTGTCCCATTCCAAAAAGATACTTACATTATACAGTATTATTCACACTTTTTGGCCTCCCATTTTAAACATTCAGCAAGGCACATCATTTCAAAATATAATCTTAACTTTGTTAACTATCGGATTAATATTTGAACATTTTAGGTTCTAATCAGTGGCGGATCCAGCCACTCATGGCCCACCTTCA